ATTGATGTGCATTTTTGTTTGCGATAAGATTCAAAGCTCGTTAAAATCATGGCTCGTGTTGCCACAACTGATCAGTTGGAAGATGCCCTCACCACACCTTTGTACACGACTTCGGTCCAAGATTGATTTTTCTTTTTGGACATCATCTTATGGGAGAGTATTCAAAAATAAATAGGAGTTTTATCCAGTCTTGTTACATCTTGTATTTGAGATAAACATCCAAATAGGATTCTCTATCCAAATTATTATTTTCTATGGTACAATCAACATTGGCACATTTGTCACAAGGTCTTCTTGAATTCAACATTGGCATACTTAAAACTAAAAATTAATCTCATTTACAAGTGGATCATGCAGTATTTCTCGATTCTTGTGTATTGGTTTCAATACGAGTTCTTCAACTTTTTTTTTTTTTTTAATAAATAGCAAGATATCATACAAGTAACTTAATTATTTGAAATGACGTCTTATTTCTGGTTAGAGCGATCCAGTGATGTGTTAAAATGTGAATGAAAGGATAGTTAAATCAATAGCCAATTGACATTAAAAGAAATTTGAAGCCATAATAAATAAAATATAAGTAGAAAAGTCGAATGGAGTGTAAGAAATGAGGGTTAAGGGAGGGACAGAAAAAGTATACATTGGAGACAAAGAAACTAAAAGATTCCGTCTTATCTCATCTGTTCGCATAGTGGTTCCAATTCCAATGCGAAAATAAAAAAAAAAAAACATTTGCTTATTCATTTTCTAATCATAATTACTTTTTATACCAAAAGTACTTAAAAGTTCGTAATTTTCTAATATTATTTATAAATAATTTAATTATTTATCATTTTTAATATTATGCTTGCGTGAAAAATGCATTTGAATGTGAGAAAGTATATATAAAAATTCATTTACATAAAGCATAACCCAATAAAGAAGCTTAGGGACATAAGAAATATACTCGAGAAATTGCCATCTAATAATCTAAGATTTTACCACCCATCTTAATTGGGTCCATTATCCACTTAGTTTGATGATGTGGAATAAGGATTAAAGTCACGATCACGAAATCGGATAATTTTAAATTCATTAGTTGAACGAATGTCGAAGTTGAATCGAGAAAGCTCTCGCAATTCATATCATATTTTATAAAATTCAATCAAAAGCCAAAAAAAGCTTTCGTGTTAGTTTAGCATTACCTAATGCTAGTTAAATAAAAATTGCACGTTGGTCCCAAAATTCTTAACAAAGTATAATATAAGTAGGGCTGGGCAAAATGTCCGAACCGAACCGAACCGAACCGAACCGAACCGGAACCGAACCGAACCGAACCGAACCGAACGGGTTTTTTAAAATGAAATACCCGAACGGGTATCCGAATCGAGAACCGAGAT